CATCACTCGCTTTTTCATTTCGTATGCTTAGATAATGCAAATTTTTAATGAACGGACATAAAAATCATACATTATAAAACAATAATAGAGAATAAAAAATATTTGACTTTGATTGTAAATTTTCTATAATACAAAATTATTTATTAAATAATTTTTGATAATGTAAATGTTAAAATATTAACATGAATAAAATGACAGGAAGAAAAAATATTTTAAATAATTATTTCTAAATTTATAAACAATGTGGTGAGATGATATGAGATAATATAATCTTTTATAATCAAAATATTAACTTTTAACACGAAGAAAAATAATTACATTTATTTTCACATGTTTCAGTATCTTTCGACTGTATTCTCCTATTTCACGGCATTGCGAGTAATAATAATGGAAGACGATTGAAATTAAACGTAAACATAACATATAATCAAAATAACCTTTTAATAATTAGTATTTGCTCAGAAGTAAGTATTTTTTATACTTTGTTGTACAGATTTTAGAAAATACATTAGTATTATTTGATTTGAATATAAATTCAATCGTTATTAATATATTATAAACCGTCTTAAACAATAATGCATAATTGCTTTAATATTAATAATAATACTTTAATAATTGCTGATATCCATTTCTGTATATAATGTCAATAATAGAATATCTTGCACAAAATACGAGAATATTATACAAGATTAATAAATATATTCTTAAATATATTCTTACAAATTGATTTAGCTAGACTAGTGGAACATGATATACGATTCAGAATTTATGTGACATTACAATGTAGTTACAATAAAATAAATAAAATTTATTCGCTAATTGCACATATCAAAACAATTGTAACTTAAAAAAATTTGTAAGAATTATATTTGTCAATAAAATTAATTTACACAATCCATCATATTATTAAATATATATTTATATTTTTAAACTCAAAACATTATAAGAACGGTACACATTTTAATTATTTTGAAAACAAATAAATTGACGTATACAAGTATAGCAAGATAGAACTGTAATTTTATATAAATTCTTAATTTAATCACATTTTTTCCTTTATTAATTTTATTATGTACAAAATATTTAAAAATAATATTGTCTCCAAATTACTTGCATCAATAACAGTATACATAAATCTTGTTCCACATTAAAGAAACGTCATTATATTCAATATCAATTATAACTTAATAACATAAATCAAATCTAATATGCAAAGTCTATTAAAATAATTGTCCAGCATGGGTACGTTCCATTTAACACTCGCAACGCTCTTGAAATTTCATCTTCGTTGTTTATCAAACATTAAACAAGAACAAGTAATGTTCGCGAGCGTTGCGAGCGTTAAATGGAACGCAGCCCATATCAGTTGGATCATGAATACAGTATTTTTGAGTATAAAAAGATTTTTGTTTCTTATACTCATTAAAAATAATCATGTTATTAGACAATACCTGTAATAAATCTAATCGTTTAATGGCATTAATCTATAATACAATGTATAAACTGTCAATGCGCTACGTAAAGATAGTTTTTATGCCAATGCCCTGTTTGATACGCTGATATGCAAATTGCAAACCATATCGTATCATATATTTAATACCAAACGATGATATGATACGCGGACACGCAAGAAGTCTATATTCGCCTTGAAACAAATTGTGCTTGTCCCCTAAGACACGATAAACATTAGTTTTACCACAATTCTCCCAAATATTCGTCCACAATCAAATTAAAGTGTGTGAAGTTACGGGAAATTTGTGCAATGAGACACTCCCGTTAAAAATATCTAGTTTTAATTTCGATCCAAGAATATTGCTTAAAGTTGCGCGGTTATCCGAGAATAAAAATAAGTAATTGGCAAAGCCACTTATTTAGATGTTAAGACCTCGACCTTCAACTGAAAAAAATGGGAAGAATTCGACCTGATTGTTGCAGCTACATAGCTCCTTTCTTAGCAATCGAAAATCTTCGATTGCGATACGAAAACTTTCCGTTTTCCTTAACTGAACTGGACTTTCTCGTGTTTGTCCTAACTAGACACATCTGTCCTTTTTATTGAAATTGTCACGATGTTGCTCGCAGTTTCAAGTATCTCAGAAAGGTACCCTTAAAAATATTGCATACGGAAATCAAGTTCATATATCTTATTTGATAATTAATGTAAGCGACACTTCCAACAAATAATTCAGATTCTATATTTTAAGAAAACATCAATTTTTTTTCATAAACCGCAACAATTATTCAGAAGATTACAATCTATACGAAGCCAATGACCAAACATACGCACAAAACAACGGCTCATACGAAGTTTATTGTTACAAATAGTTGATTGTCCGATTTTCCTTTGTTAACATTGATCTTCTCGATGATTTTAGTTGATTTATAGCTTTCGAAACTTCAAAGTAGATTAAAGAAACGCAATATTATTCCTATAATAAATTTACTACATTTATAGTCCATTGTGCACGCTTATTTAAAACACGCGTACAACAGAGTGCAATTATGCGAAGAATATTGCTAAAGGAAGTAATCTCCATCGTGAAGTTAAGTGTGCTCCCAATTTGGTGTTGGCCTTTGTCAAAAAATGCGACAAGATTTAAAACGTTCTGTATGAAATTATATCATTGTTGGTGTATTACTATGGCGACATGCCTACTAGTATCGACGACGTATGCTGCATCACATCATCTTGATGATTTTGCCATTCTAGCACAAATATTACTAAATGTAAACACATCTTGGCACACCATATATAACTTTATCTTTTATCAACTTAATCATTATCACATACAAGTAAGTAATATTTTATTTGTTAACGTTTAAAATTTAGATGTATAAATTAACTAAAAAATTACATTTTACAATACCGTTCTCTATCAATAATAATGTACTTATGCTTGCAGAATGTTACTGACAAAATGGAAAAGTTTTGCAATGTAATAAAGGCACATGAGGAAGTTGTTATTCAACGATATATCGACAAGTGTGCTGTATTCTATGGTGCATCTATGTTTACTTTTTATCTTGTCACGTTTGCAATAATCACATTGGTACCTCCTATGACGCATAGACCGTTTCCAACATTAGCCGAATATCCATTTAATGTATCTTATCAACCACTAAAAACAATAATCTATATACATCAATCTATGGTCGGTATAATGATGGCAGCACAATTAAGCACAAATGTTTTTATCTCTCTGTTGCTCTGGTTTGCATCAGCAAGATTTGAGATATTGAGCGAAGAGCTGAAAAAAGCAACAGATTTTTATTCGTTGTTCCAATCTATTAAAAAGCATCAAGAATTATTCAAGTAAATATCAACCTTGCCTTACACGGAAATAATCTACTTAAAAAAAAAAGTTTAAGTTATATGAATTTTGACACGTAATATATCTAGGTACATTGAGGAAGTTGCTGTTTGTGTTCGTCCTTTCGCAACTTCAGCTACATTGTGTAGTACAAATGTCCAAATAATTATCTTTCTTTTGTTTATTACTGTGAGTAATATATGTAATATTATATAAATCTAATATTTGTATATATTTTCTTTTAAGTTCACACATAAATCTTACGTCTAAATATAACAATTATTAATATTATATTTAAAAAGTCAGAAAAAGAAAATCAATAAAAAAATTAAGTCAACAAAATACGTGGTATATTATGGAAATATCATGTATACCATTTTTTTAAATATAGCACCAACCTGTAGCACTAATAGTCCAATTTTGTGGATTAAGTGTAGTATGTTTAATGGAGGTATTCATGCTTGTCTGGCCAGCAGAGAACTTAATATCAACGGTAGTTATTATTTATCTATTAAAATTTATTATATTATAAATAGTATTTTAATAAATACTTATTATCTTTCATAGTGCAATAATGTCGCAGAGACAGCGTACGACGTATTCGAATATAATCAATCAATTAAAATAATGAAATGTCTGCAAATTATTATAATGAGAAGTCAAAAACCGGCAATTGTTTCAGTACCTTGTCTTATCCCCGCATTATCATTTAATTACTTTGCAACGGTAAGATCAACTTTTAAATTAACTAATTCATTGAAAATTATCATCTATATTAATTATTGATATCTGATACAATTCCACACTTGCAAAGCTTTTAATTAAAATACAAAATGACAGAAAGAGAAAAATATTTTTAATTATTGTTTTTAAATTTTTGAACAGTAATGACATGAATATGCACTTTTATTATTAAAAATATATACTTTTAATGCGAAGAAAAATAACTATATTCATTTTTACATGTTTCAGTATCTTTCGACTATACTCTCCTATTTCACGACACTGCGAGTAATAATGGAAGACGATTAAAATTATATATAATTAATTAATTAATTATAT